CAAATTGCACCATATTCACGTCCCCGAGGCCACGGTCGCTTGTAAATTACACCATATATTCGCGTCTCCGAGGCCACGGACCTTTGAAAATTATGCAGTGGTCGCGTCCCCGAAGCTACGATCGCCCGAAAATTATGCCATGTTCGCGTCACTGGGGCCACGTTCCCTCGTAACATACGCCGAAGAACCCCAAGATCATCCAAGCCGCGCGATTTTGCTCGGCGCGGCACCAGGCAGCCCACCGTCGTTCCAAGTTAGCAGCCGATACACAGCACGAAGGGGGAGTTCGCAAAAGGCAGCGCAGAGCACAACGCTATCATATCAAAATCAATCAGTCTTGAAGATTACCAAAAAATCCTCGAACAAAGTTTCGACGCCGCTTCGCGACGTCGCCCAGGGCACCCAACATGGCTGCTGCACATTCCATTCTGTTGGAGAGGGAGCCGGCGGCAGAGGGCGAAGCACTTACGGATGCGCTCTCGGCGCCCTTCTGGGAAGTCGCTCAGCTCGAACTCGATGGTGCATTGAGGACAAATGAACTCCTCATCTTCGGGTGCGTCCGCCCTGTTCGGAACCGGGCAGGCATGATGGCCTTTGATTGTGCAGCTTCTGGCGTCGGGAACACAGCTCCTGCCGGCGTTGCTGAGAACGCCCCTACAAAGCCGGCTGCGCTCATCTGCACCTGGACGTAGCAGCCCGCCAAAGCGTTTGAACCTGAAGGCCGACTGGCTTTGGCTGCGGTCGGCCAGTGCCCCGGCTACTCCACCCTGCCCTCGGTTCTTCCTCATGTGCAAGACGTCCGAGGTCACGCGAGTCAGCCCCTCCCGCGTGTGATGGCGGCCAGTCGCGCGTCATCCCCAGCTTCAGCACGACCTCTGCATCGACCGGCAGTTTCGGGGCCTCTGGGGGCGAAACTCGTTTGCCCGCGGCCGAGCGGGCTCTGCCCTTGCCTGGGTCGACAGCGCGCAGGGAAGGAGCCCGACCTCCGCGACGCATCTGGCCAGACTGCGATGCGCCCGAGCGCGCGGCCACGAGTTGCTTCGGAAGAGGCGTGGAAGTGCCCTGGAAGCTGGGGGCGCGCGCTAAAATACTGCCAGAAAGCTGTCGTCGGTTGTCTTGCTTAAGTTCATAATGTGCCTCCGCTAGCATCGCTTCTTTTGCTAGAATGAATTTCTCATCACCGGGCTGAGAGCGAGGTATAGAGACCCGCTGGTACCATGACGGGGCCATGCCTCTTCTTCGGCTTGAACTTTCCAGCTGGAGTCGATTCTTCATCAGATTCCGAAAGGTCCACCCCCTGTTCTGGGCGAAACTCCTGTCCTGGCGCTGCTGTCGGGGCGTCTTGGGCGGGGCCGCCCTTACCTCGGGCGCGCCCACCCGCGCCCCGGGCGCGGTCGCCCTTGCCCACTGGCTCAGCAGGCGCAAGCGGCGACCCCCCCGCGCCTCGAGTTGATGGCGGAGGGGGCTCCGCAGGAGGGGCGGCACTGGCGCGGCCGACGGTCTGGTTCGTCGCATTTAGCTCCTGGCGTCGAGGAACGCCGGCATCGCTGTCCTCGTCCTGCGGAGCGCCAAAGCGATTGCAGCGCAAATCCCGCTGGTGGACCTCGCGGCGATGGTCTTCGGGGAGCAACCTCCAGTCCTGCTTGATATCCTTGAACTCTGCGTCGTTCAAGGAAGGATATTCGGCTTCGGGCTTCGGCGTCGGCCTTGCCACCGACGCCATCACCGCGGTCAGGGCGCCACGGCGCGGCATGCTGACGTGGACTGCACGATGGCCAATCGATAGGGCATCCAGGACGATGTTTGCTGAGGCAGGGGCATCCGCCCATGCGATATGTCTCGCGGCCCCCCATGAGTTCGCGATTACGTCGGCGAGTTTCGTCTCTCTCTACGGCACGGCGATGAGACATCTCGACGACGTGGCCGGAACCGCCACGAAGCACGTACACGTGGGACAACCAGTGGCGAATTTGTCGCTCACTCCGGCCTTCATCTAGATACCACTGCGCGTCGCCATCGGGCATCTCCAAGCGCGGGCCCTGCTCGCCCAGAGAAAAGGACGCGCGCCCCTGCCCCGAGCCGCAGCCCTTGCATGACGAGGGGCCCGCAACATAAGAATGACTGCTTCCTCGGCTGCCGCCGCCCGCGCCCAGGCCTGACCCTCTGGGCCTTGCCCCCGAACTGCGGCCGCGGCGACTGCTGTCTCTGTTGCACTTGTCAGGGCCAGCCCCAATCGGACCTGAACCGACGGGGGCCCAGCGGGCCCACATCGTAGAAACAGCGGCGTACGACTAACCCCAGCCCACCGCGGCCATCTCCTCAGGGGCGAAGCCAGTGACCGTCGGCGCTGGAAGCTGGGGAGGACCACCCTGATCGCGTCCGAGCTGAAGCCGTTGCAGCTCTTCTTCGGCGGCAGGGATGGCCCCAGCTTCAGACACGCCATCGTTCTCGTCATCGGCGCGCACGTGTCCGTACTCGTCTTCATTCTGCACGTGCCCGTGCCATGGTAGCCCAGCCCAGACATCCAACGGCGCGTCGAAGTGCTCCTCAATGCCGTCGCACAGGTGCTCGGCGTAGCGTTCGACCGCCATGGCAGCATCGGCGCATCTTGCAATCAGGAACTGGGCGGCTCGAGATTGCACATGGGAGGGGTGATCGAGATCGGGAAAATGAACGCACTCGAGTACGTCGTCCTCGTGTTGCTCTGAGCCAAGAAATACGGATCCATCCCCCTTTCCCGTGCCTTTAGGATACTGTGCATGAGAATGTTTGTCGCTCCGGCACGAGTTGCATGTCATGCGCTGGCCATTCTTCTCAACGGGGTTTAGCTTGCGCCCCTTGCCTTTTTCCTCGGGTGTTTCTCCGACCCTTACCTCTGCCTTCACGGCCCAATGACAATTCCTCAATGTCGTGATTGGCTAAACTGGCTAGGAACGCGGCCATCCCTTTTCCATGCAACCTACGGGTACGCCTAACACCCTTACCACAACCCCTACTTACCCTGACAGAAGAAGACACGACGCACTACTCGCCTCAACCTCAAATAGCTTCCTCACATGTCGTCTCCACCATCGTTTCGCACGATGATAGCCCACGCATAGGCATTGTGCTGCTTGGGCATCGCCAGCACGCAGATCTGACCAGTCAATCGCTTCAACGCCGGTTGATGAGCGAGTGTCGGTGTCTGTACCAGAGTCAACGAGGTCGCCGTCCTGTTAGCTTGACGAACCCCAAAGGGTTGTCGCGGCGGGCGGTGCGTAGCTGGCAGCAGCTGGCCAACCGGCGTTCAAGCTGGAGGCCTGTGCGCTGCCAGTCTCTTGGCCTAGGAATGTCGTGGATTCGCTAAGCTCCTGATCACCCCAAATATTGCCAGACGCGGCCGCTGGCGTGTCGCTTATTTCGGCACGGTAGGCACCGGCATTGCGGCCACTGCAGATGCTCCCGATGTTGCCAGTAACGCGCTCAGCTACATGTCAATGGCTGCGCATGCGCTCCAGTAGCTGGTCATATTTCTGCTGGGCACGGGGGATCTGGTGGTCAAGTGATTGCAGCAACTGCAATGATCGGGGGGGGCCTACTCCAAGAGCACGAAACTTAGGAGCGTCAAGATCCAGGAATTGGGCATGTAGACGCTGGCCGAATCCGCTTCCAGCCTGGCCATTTGAAATCGGGCCAGCACCGAGTCGACGCGCGTGCACCTTTCGACCCTGACATCGAGAAGGGCGGTTCCCGAAGTGTGCTGTCGTTCATCCGCGAGGCTTTCACATTCGGCGCTGAGGAGGTACATAGTATATATGTAACCCTATCGGCGCGTCTACCCTGCAAGGCTACACCGTAGCTGACGATGGTAGACGGCACCCTCTTGGCCAGGGCCCCAGCGAGACCCCCGAGACCGCGCTGTAGCGCGGCGGCCTGTTGGGGTGGAGTCGCGGTTCCACGTGCGACGTGGAACCATGCACGTACTTCGCGAACGAACTCGCGGACTGCTGCGTTGCCTGTGGGGTCCCAGCGGGGCCCCCGAGCGCACGTTTCACCCTTTCCTCCACGCGTGTATCCCACTGCCAACCCAAGACACACCCGTACAATCCCTAAGATAGTAGCCGCCCATGACATTGTGCATGTTCAGGTTGTAGTTCGCGATGCCAGGGTCTCTCTTTGACGACTGACGTATCCGTCAGGTTACGAATGGGGGAATGGTCTGACGCGGCCGTCAGTTGGAAGACGGGCGCGAAGGTTACGCCCGCGCGTGGCGCGTCGCCACGTGGCGGGGGGATGGAGGGAAAAGATAGTGAGTTACCCATTGGTTGAAGGGCATCGTCAGCATTGTGGCTGATAGCCGGCGCAGTTGGATGACTCACTAGCTACGCCGTGGCAGGTCGTTAAGTACATAGACCTGATGCAAGAGCCAGCCACATCAAGATAAGGCCAGCTCCGACACCAAGCGAAAAACAAATGTCAGGGGGATGCAAGCCAAGACCCCGCCGCTGAGGATGACGTCGCAGACTGCGCACCACCTGTCCAGCCCCACCACCCCAGCCAAATGCCAGAGGGATGGGAAGGGGTGAACGACCGAGCGGGGGCAAGAACGCCCGGCGACTAAGGGGGGCACCCCGGAGCCTCCGGGAAGACGAGGGAGGGAGGAGGGGGGCAAAAGAAACGGAGGAGGGGCACGAGGAAGGCCAGGGGTCGTCGTCGCCCGGAGCGGCCAGCAGGCTGAGAGCAGCGGACAGCGCGCCCCCACTTTCGGGGGGCCCCGTGTGCCGGCGCAGCACAGCCCGCGCCGCGGCCCTGCGAATGGCCACAGAGAGCTGCTTGAAGAGGCGAGCCGCCCCCGCGCCCGCCTCTTCTCCGAGGCGCCCGTCGCTGGACCGAGCCAGGCGGCGGAGGGCGCCCGCGCCCGAGGGGCCCCGTCCGCCCGACGGTTCCGCCACCAGGGGGGTGAACATTACCCCCTGCCGCCTGCACTGGGCCCCGGTGTCCAAGTGCCCACGCCCGGTCGCCTCGCGCGCATGGGCCGCGCGCCCTTGGCCGAGCCGAGCCACGCCGAGAGCAGCCTGCCTATGCAGCGAAGATACCGCAAAGTCGAAGGCAGCAGGCGCCCCTCGGAACCCAGATCGCACGTAGACGTTCGCAGGGCGACGCCCGTTGACCCGAGCGTCGCCAGGCCGGGGCGGCCAGGGCCCCGGGCGTTCCAGCCCCGGGTCGAAACCGGCCGACGAAGCAAAACAACCGACCAGGTTTCGGGCGGCGCTGCGTCGCAGCACCCGGCCCCCCAGCGCCCGCGCAAAGACCCGAGCGGCGGCCGCGCCTGTCGCACACGCCGTCGCAGCAAGGGCAGTAGTGCTCGGACTCGTAGACGGGCACTAGGAGCCGGCGCTGGACCTCAGTCACAAACTCTTCTGGTTCGAAGAGCAGCCCGAGGTTCTCGTTCGGCGGCGCCTCCAGGGGGCCGCTTGCGCCGGGGAGCTGTTCGGATTGGATTTCCGCTAGGTCTGACTCGCTCAAGCCAGCGCAGAAGGCCTTGTGGTCGCGGTCGTCCAAAGCCGCAGAAAGGCCCTTCTGCGCGGCGCCCTCAAGGGTTTCTGGGCGCGCTCCGCTCGCCCCTGGCAGCGGCGTTCTAAGCGAGGAGCGCCTGTCCAGCCCTCGTGCTCGCGTCCTCTGGCGCCCACCTGTAGGCCGGGCCCAGCGCGGCGCAAAGGTCTCGGGTCGCAGCTGGGCCCGCCAAGTAGGCGCAAGGCGCGCGGGCCTCCAAGCGCCGCAAGCCTAAGCATTCAAAAGCCAGTCCGCGGGCCGCCCCGTGCCACTGCGCGTCCGTCAGGTCCACCGCCAGGAGGTTGGCGAGCACGACGCCGGCACAAGTCGAAGCTGCCGAGTGCTTCCGAGCGCAGGGCTGGCGGGGTCGCGCGGGCGCTGCACACGAGTGTGCCGAAGCTCGCGCAGCCCGCGAGTGCCGCCACGGTGGGTTTGGCCTTGTCTGTTTTCCTCTTCGTGAAAGCCTCGCAGCAGGCCCAGTCGCCGATGGGCGCGCCCAGCAGCTTGAACCCACCCCGCAAGGCGACGCGGCCAACGCCAGTTTCAGCCTCCATTAGCAGCGGCCCCAGAGGGCCCCCACTGCTGCACGCCCGCTTGAGACGTGAGCCTGCGTTGGCCGGAGCGCAGGGTTGAGCGCTCCGCGTAAGTCCAGCGCGCCCAACGCTCGAACACTGGGAAGCGGGAGCGAACGGCCCGCAGCACGGCTTCCCGCTTCTAGGAATTGAAGGCGCGGGCAAAATCCAGCTTGAGCAACACATTGCCGCTGTCGCTGGCGTTCCGTTTGCACCACTGGCGCACGGCGCGAATCGTCCCCTCCGCGCCGAGAGGGCTGCAGCAGCCTGTCTGCAGCGGCCAGAGGGTCTGGCGGGCGCGGGACTCCACGTGCGAGCAGAGGACCTTGCCTGTCAAGCGGCGGGGGGTCTCACCGATAGCGGTCGGCCGGAACCCCCCGTCCTCCATTTCCAGGGCGACCAGGCTTGCTCTGGCCAGGCGCGGCGCAAGCCGGCGGGAGACGGCCGCGAGCTGCTCGCACAGGGGCGCCTGCGTGGCCGGAGAGAGGGCGCCCTGCAAGTGTTGCGCTGGCACCCCGGCACCGGCAGCCGTGCCCTTTGGGAAACCGCGCACGGCCATGAGCACCGAGTTCGGGGCGATCTCGGGGGCGGCCACGAGCTCTCCCAAGCGGCCTAGAGGCAGGGCGGGCGCAGCAGGGCGCAGCCTCTCGAGGGCCAGCGCGGTCTCCCGCGTTGGCGTCGCGAGGCCCGCGGCGGTCAAGGCGGCACAGCCCTTCCCCAGCAGGCCCTCCGCCGCGAAAGCGGCGGCGCGGGCGGCGTGCTGCTCCGCGGTCGGCGGCCTCTCCGCTCGTTGCCGCCGCTCTCCCGGTCGCTCGCCGCAAGCCTCCCGCCAGACGGTCGAGCGCTCCCTGGCTTCCCACCGGGCCAGCCGCTCCAGCGTGAAAGCCGCAAGCGCGGTCTCGTTCTTCCTGCCCGCGCGCGGCGGCACGCAGAGGACACACTTGGCCACCATCTGCAAGTCGGGCCAAGCTGAGGCCGAGTTGTGCACCACCACGTTGGCGAGGCACTGGGAAAGCGTTCGAGGCCAAGCTGGCCGGGCTCGTTTGGGCACGTAGCGGAGGGTAGACACGGCCGCCGCGTGGACGCTGTCCAGGGATGGGCGTCCGTCAACGCCTTGGCCGGCCGGCGGGGCTCCAGGCTCTGCCGCGGGCGGGGCTGCAGGCCGCGCGGCAGCTCGGTCGGCGGGGCGGCAAGAAAGGTGCACGCCCCTGCTGGCAGCCACGCACAGGCCGCACACCCGGCACCGAGCGCGGCCGTGCTGGCGGAGCCACTCGTCCAGCTGGCCACTAAGGTGGGCGTCCAAGTGTCGGCGCAAAGTTGGGAGACTGGCCCATCCGGGATGTCGCCTCGAGTCAGAACAAGGGCATCCCACCACTGGACAGTGAAGCCGCGCGGGCGGGGGCGGCAGTGCAGGCGGCATGGCCTCGTCGAAATTCAGCCTGCGAACTCCGCCCTCCAAATCGCCGACTGTTGGGTTGGCGCGGTTTGCCGGCACTGGGGGCGCCGATCCGCCCCGCGCAGCGGCACCCCCGTCTCCGGCCCTCTGGCGCTCCCCAGGCGGCGATGAAGCACCACGACCCGCGCTGCGACCCCGCGTCCGTCCACGCGGCCGCTCGGAACCCACAGGTATGCCTGGAAGCGGAGGGCCTTCCCCAGGATACCCAAAGGCGGCGTCGAAAACCGAATTCCTCCTTGCAGCGACCCAGGCGGCTGGGACGGCATGGGCGGCAAGGGCGGCAGGTGGTGCCAAGTGAACTGCTGTAGCCAACACTCCAGCGGTGCTTCCCGCGATTGCCCCCACGGCACCAGCGGCAGCGAGACAGAAACTGAGGCCCACGGAGGCGCAGACGCACTTGCTGATGAGTCGCAGGCGGCGCGCGCACCAGGCGGGAGCGTTGGAGCGAAAACGGGCACAGAGGCGCAGCATGAACTCCATCGCCGTCACAACGGCCATCACCCCAACTGCGAACAGCCACAAGACGCATCCTTTAACGAGTGTGGACATGAAGCTAACGGAGAAGGTGGCCGCGTCCTCGGGTAGTGAATCCTCATCTGGCGGCCTCCCACTATGACTGGTAGCATCCCAAGCTGCAGACACGAAAAAAAAAACAATGGCCAATAGCAGGCACCTGCGGCGGCGCGCATGCCAGAAGAGTCGTAAGCGTATCACGGTCTCCTATCGCTTATCCCATACAAAAGAACAGGGCGGTAGGCGAGAGACGAGATATGAGATGAGACGATGCACCATCGAAGGATGTGGACGCCTCCTTTACCCGTTGCTCAGATGCGATAGTACCTCGTTGACGCGAGGTTGTCATTTAGGATAGCGTTTCGATTGAGCAAGATTGCGGCGGACGTAGGCAAGACGCTCGCTATGCTCACCTTTGCCCCGCTGATCTCCTTTCAAAAATAAACAATGGATCTACGGGGGCAGCACTGCGGTTTCCCCGACCCCCTTCCGTCTGGGCGAAGGTGGCCCCTATACTTCCCCCCGCACATCGTGACATTTACCCAACAATTGGCTCCGGAAGCCGATCTGGCCTGCCCCACTGCCCGCAGACCCCCAAGATAATTTATGGACCCCCCCAGAACGATCCAGCACGCCACGACGACGGTGCCAACTTGCCCCGACCAAGTCCTGCCCACCTCCAGCCAAATATCAAAACAACTAATCCACAAAAAAAGCAATGTCCCGGCATGCGCCAGAAAAATGCCGAGCCCCTGATATTCGGACTCAAGCACCCGCGTGGCCAGCAAGTCATACTGAACGCGAGTGTACCTGGAGGGCGCCGTCAGGAAATTCACGAAGGAAGCAAGGGGATGATGAGACGGAAAAGAAGCAGTAGGAGAAGAAAGGAGGAGAAAAAAGAAAAGGAGGAATATGAGAAAGAAGAGGAGGGGGAGGGGAAGGGCGAGGGGGAGGAGGAGGAGGAGGAGGAGGAGGAGGAGGAGGAGAAGAACGAGGAGGAGGAGGAGGAGGAGGAGGAGCCCACGCCTCAAGGAGGGATCCCCATCCAACCGCACCGCCGCCCTGTGCAGCGCTGGGCGAGCCGCCCGCGGCCCGCGCGGGGCCATTCCTCAGACCATCCTCTGAAGAGACGATCTGGTTGTCGAAGTTGCCGAGGTGAAAGCTAGCTTCGGGGACCGAGCCAGCGACGGCACCGCCGTCATGAGGAAGTGGCCCAACGTCAGCGACGGGGCCAGCAGGAAATTGATCGCTGCCTTCACTCTCAGAGGGAGCTACTCCAGCGTTCGCAGTAACCATAGCGTAGATCTCCGCATGTCGATCCTCAGGATCATCTGGGCAAGAGAGACAGCAGAAGCAAGCGCTTCAGACTGGGCCATCTCGAAATTGTCGTTCTCCTCCCCCTCCACTTCCAGAAGAAGCGCCATTGTGTCCTCATCGCTCTCCATAGCCGACTCTGTGTCATTGTATGCCGCAGCCGCAGCCGCAGATGGCACGATGGGGGCGTCGGCCTCAACAACGAGAGGCACGTCAAGACCATGTGCAGCTCGTCATGCGCCTTGGACATCAGCATCACCAGCACCATCCGGAAGTTCGAGTCCATCAGCCAGACCATGCTGCCCCTGAGGATGTGGGGGGCCACAGGTAGTGGAACCCCGCTCGCAGTGCTGGACGGCCAGGAGACTTGCACACGATGTGTGAGCCCATTAACCCGTGGGCGAGTAACACTTGATCCTGGTGTCCCCTGCTGAGAGTGGTGGTCAAATCCAGACCCAGTATGGCTGCCAACTGCGCTGTCCGAACTCTGCAACTCGAGGTGAAGACCGTCACTTTCATCACCACCCAGAACACTGCCAGGGTTCTGAAGCATCCAGATCACCAGGCCTCGCTGCTCGTCCGAAAGATCGAAGTGCTCATTCAGGAAGTCAACAGCACGCGTCATCTGCCTGTCAGAGAGCAATTCTAAAGAACCCGAGACTATTCATGCAGCGGACAGGGCTTCACGCACCGCCGCTATCCAGCTTCGAACGCAATTGAAGGCATTTGCACTCGCCGTAGCAGAAGCCGGAGAAGTAGCTGCCTCCGTGGGCTCCGTGGGGGAAGCAACCATCGCAGGGCCAGCCATTGTCCGTCTCGCGGCTCCACCCACCCAACCATCTGGATAGATAACCCCAAGCCCATGCGCCGCCATTGTCTCGTTAAAGCCATCGTCAGAGTCGCTGGTAGATGTAGATTCGCGCCGTTCATCAGGAGAGAGAGGGGACGCGGGTGGCAGCCTGGAGGATGAGGCCGTAGGATCAGACGGCCCATCTGTGTCCACTCTCGAGCGGCGCACGACAGCCTGAACTTGCGCTTCGAATTCCTCGTCAGTTAAGATTGGCCCAAAGTGGTGAGAATATTCATCAGGTGACATCTCCATATCGTTGCCATGGGAGGCCTCCATGTGCTCCACGTCCATGTCCGTGGGTTCAGGATAGCCAATAGAGTCGATGCTGCGGTTGTCCTCGTCGGGAGGGCACAGGGCATCGGTGTCGACGCAGACGCCCCCCTCTGGTGCGAGGTGCGGCAGGAGGTGCGCGATCGGATTGAGCGATAGCGGGGGCCCAGCTGGGAAAACCTGTCGAATCCGCTGAGAGTCAGCCCGTTCTGCTTCACTCATGCGTGCCAAGTCAGCAGTCCAATCCCGCTGCCGA